TGCGAGTTTGAGCCCCATGTTGGGCATAAAGCCTATTAAAAATAATTAAATTAATTAATAAAGGGGGAGAGAGAGTGAGACCGTAGGCAGTAGTTATTACTTATACCTGTCCCAGTCTATATGCTTCATCTATTTACCTAGGTTTACAGTTGGCTATAACAGTTTTCTTTATAGCAATGGCCCAAGTGTCCTGAGACCATGCCAGGTCCAGCACTAAGCACTTTTTTTTTTTTTCAACGTTTATTTATTTTTGGGACAAAGAGAGACAGAGCATGAACGGGGGAGGGGCAGAGAGAGAGGGAGACACAGAATCGGAAACAGGCTCCAGGCTCTGAGCCATCAGCCCAGAGCCCGACGCAGGGCTCGAACTCATGGACTGCGAGATCGTGACCTGGCTGAAGTGGGAGGCTCAACCGACTGCGCCACCCAGGCGCCCCAAGCACTTTTAAGTGAATAATCACCCGGAATGGTCATAACAGTTCAGAAACCATCCTCCTCATTTCAGGGGTGAGGAAAGTGAGGTTTAAAGAAGTTGTGATTTGCACAAAGTCACAAGGACCAAGAGTGGCAGGTTTAAACCAGAACCCAGGCATTCCAACTGTGGAGACTACTCTTCTTTGCTCTGGCTGCCTCTTCCTTGGCTCATTGGATGCCAGGTTCTCTCCTGCCTCGGGGTCACAGCCTATGCTGTTCCATCGTCTCCTCTCTACCCAGCTAATTCTTGCTCATCCTTCAGATCTGCATTTGAACATCCCTTTCTTTCAGGAGTCTCTCACCTCCCCCTGCAAGCCCAGGAGTCTCCTCAGTACCCCCTCATTCTTGTGTTTCTCCCACCAGAGCAACTATCACACAGACTGTAATTAAGTATCTGCTTCCTGTACACTCCCTGGGGGCACCATGTATCTTGCCCATCACTGTGCACCCATGCCCAGCCAAAAGGCTGGCACACAGATATATTAGTAGTCCAGTGAATGAAGGAATATGACATTACCGATAATTTAGAAAATTTAGATGCCTAGCTCTTCGTAGTTATGAAAGGGCTGCCGCACTATTTTCTCCAAGGCTCACCAAAGCCTTGTGACTTTGGCAAGGCAGGAATTCCACTCCTGTTGATAGAGGGGGTAAACCGCGTGAACCCCAGAGAGCTTAAGTGGCAGAACTTCCGCCAGATCCCAAACCCAGTGTTTCGTGCGAGGCAGGGCTGGGCGGTCAGAACTGAATCAACTTGACTTCACCTCTCAGGGAGGCAATGTCTCTGGTAGGGGAGACTTTCAAACAACTCCATAAGAAAGTGGAGAGTGGCAAGTTTAGTTTAAGAGGTTGCTGGGGAAGTCAGAGGCGGTGGCATTTGAAAATGGGCCCTTAGAAGGCGGGCAGAATTTGAGGACTGGCACGGGCAGAAAATCCCAATAGGGATCCGAGCATTCGCAGGTTCCTCCTAGAAAGACCCTTAGAGCCCTGATAACTTCGCCTCAGCTTCTTTAAGAGTGGCTCCGCCCCACTCAGCCACAGCCGCCAATCGAATCCCGACGGCCAATGGTAAGCGAGAGGAGAGCACTTCCGCGCTTCAACCGCACTTTTAAGGGGCGGAGCAGAGGGCGAGAGAGGCGCGACCAGACCTATCACGTGATCCAGCCCATTGGAGAGAGGCCGACGCCGCACGGGGCAGTTCGGCGACGTTCATTGGTCAAAGAAGGATTGGCCCTGCGTGGGGCCACGCCCCCCCGCGGTGTCCTCGAGGTTGGTTGCGCGGGCGCTGGAGAAGGAGACGCTGCCCTTCCGCAGCGATGGGATCCTGGGTGAGTGGCGGCTTTGGTTGAGCCCGCCCGGCGGGCGTCGCGGCAGGGCCTGGGACGGAAGCTTGCAGCTGGCGGGAACCGGGTCTGAGCAAAGGACTGGGTGGGAGCGCAGGTGTCCGGGCTCAACCGGACTAGAAGGGCCCGGGTTGGAATGAGCGGGTACCCGGGCCGTGGGCGTCGCGAGAGGTGGAACGGAAGGTACCAGGTCAGTGAGGAGATGCCCGGGCCTGGAACGTTGCAGGGGCGCGGGAACCCGAACCTGGGCTGGGAAAGCAGGTGCGCCGGCCGAGGTGTCGCCGGTGGGCATCTGGACGACCCTCAAGGATATTCCGGGGGTCGGGTAAGAGGGGAGGGGGCCTGACTGTGGCTGCGCAGGGTGATAACCAAGATGAAATGAACAGACCCTGAAGAAGGGGATGTTGCTGAGGCCCAGTGTGGGAGTGGCCCGTGCCCAGCGCCCAGCTTGGTCAGACTTGTAAGCTACCTAATGTGGAATGAAGAGAGACTGGGCAGAGGGTGGTTCAGAGGAATGCCTGGGTCCGGGACATTGATGGGGTCAAGGAGGAAAGGCGGGATGCTCAGGCCAGAGTCATTAATGGGGTTGCCCACTTCAAGGGAGGAGGTGCCCCTGCGCAAGATGTGGGCATCCGGGCTGAGGGTGTTGTAAGTGCCACAGTGGCGGTAGAATGAGGATGTTTATGTCCAAGGTTATAGAGTGACTTGTCCAGGTAGGAATGGCATTGGAAATGTGCAAGGGTGGGGAGCATTGCTACAGGCTGTCATAGAGAAGAGGAGGCTTCTCCTGGGTTGTGTCGGGGGTGAATAGGGCACAGTTGAGTTGAGTCTGTGGATCCGTCCCTGGAGCAAAGCAGGCTTGGGGGCCCCTGTTGTCACCTTGCACGTGCGACTCTTCTTCTCCTTTGGGACAGCTGAGGCTGCTCTTGACTTTCCTGCAGGCAAACACCTGGCCTCCCAGGCTTCTCTCACTCCTGGAGCATGTGTTCAGGCTCACTGTTGTTACTCCTTGTGGGCTCTTCTCGCTTGCGCCCCGAAATCTTTCAGGTGTGGCGTGGAGAGGGAGGTGGCAGTTGTAATGGACGGCTCAGGGGAAACACCATAGCTTTGGGATCCTTTGCAGCTGAGGTCACACCCCATCTTGGTCACTTAGCGAGGTCGGTCAGGCCGCTTGCCTCTCATGGCCTCAGTTTTCCCATCATAAGCAATGGGCGTCTGTGAGTGACTAGACTCACAGGCCACCGCTTTCCAGGGAGCGCCTGTTCCAAGCCTGCCCTACGGTAATAAGCACTTGGGAAATAGTAGCTGCTGATCCCCTGGTGTTCTGGTGTTTTCGTCTTCCCTGCTCCTAGGTCCAGGCCAGGTTGGGGGAGCGGGGGAAGAGAGGGCTGGTTTGTGATATTAACCTGGGCCCCGACCTCTGGAGGTTGCATAGCTCCATTTGCAGCTAAGCAAATTGCAGCTAAGCAAATTAAGCCTCGCAGCCTTGACAACATGACCGTTTCCTTGGTCCTAGACTGTGCCCTTGCTTGCCACCCCCTCATGCACACAGCCGAGCGCCAGAGTTAGACTGGTGGGATCGTCCATCCTTCGTC